TTATTGGGTATAACAGGCTACTCTTGGTAGCCTGTTATCCCCAAGTCTTTTTCAGTCCTCTACCAATTTATAAATCCTGGTTGGGAACAAATGGTTCTTTTTGCTGTTGTTTGAACTTGTGTTTACTGTAATAGCCACAGCAAAAACCACAAAACCATTGTCTCTTGATCTAATGGCAGGGAATTCACATTACGTGATTACATTAATTGCAGTACTAAAAATTGTGGTATATGTTGTTGAATGTGTTTTGTGTGCACTCTAGTATGGGAGGTGCACCTCTAGACCGCTTCAAACTAAAATTGCTGAACACTAAAATGGAGCTACCTATACCAATGAGAAGAATGTGTCAACACTTCAGTGCATACCAGCGATTTGGAAAGAGTTAAGCATTTTACTTCTGTGCAAGAAATAAAGATGTTTTATGGATGTTGGAGTTGCTGGCCTAATTGTCTGTTTAAAAAGACACTTAGGGGTTTATTTACTAAAGCTGGAGAGTCCAAAATCAGACTCCCTTCTGCATAGAAACCAATCCGCTTCTAACCTCAGCTTGTTCAATGAAGCTTTGGCAATGAAATCTGGAAGCTGATTGGTTTCTATGCAGAAGGGAGTCTGATTTTGGACTCTCCAGCTTTAGTAAATAAACCCCTTATTGTCCCTGAGCATGTCCAAGAACCCAGAGAGTTGTGGGAAATGGAGATAAAGGGGCCGTGCCGGCATCTGAGCATGGTGAGTAAATAGGCATTCTGCTACAATACTTATTTAGACTGTCATACAAGGGCCTTTTGCTGTACTTTTTTTGTAAGTTTGTATTATTTAAATTACCCCAATATACAATATCAACCAATTTCTGATATCGTACACGCTCCATTCACATTTTGCAATTTGGAATCACATCAATTCTGCCCATGATTATCCCATAATGGCACTCCAAACACAATGCAGTTTTCCTGCATGTGTCACATGGCAAACCACACCTTTTTAAAAATTTTGAAGATCCTTGTTGCCAAACAAGGAGCAGGAGCTTATTTTCAGGCAATGAATGCACGTAGGACAGCCCATTCAAGTGAATAGGCTTGCCCTATGCCAGTGGTGGGCAACCTTTTTTTTCAACTGAGCCAAATCTCGCCAAAACCACGATTGAAATTTATTTTGAGAGCCACATTTTTAAAACTGAAAATACATAGGATGGTACACTGTTTTTAGTTTCAATAAGTTTTTATAGTAATTCATCCCATATAGTAATTCATCCCCCCTATAGTAATTCATCCCCCCTATAGTAATTCATCCCCCCTATAGTAATTCATTCCCCATATTAATTCATCCCCCATATTAATTCATCCCTCATATAGTATTTCATCCCCCACAGTACTATTCCCCCCCAAGTAGTAAGCCAAGTCCCCCCTGTGTCAATTCACTTACCTTTGCTCCGCGCGTTCCTCTCGCCGTGTTCCCGCGCCGTTCCGGTCTTCAGGGCGGACTGTGAGAGGAGCCTAGCTCCTCTCATGTTTGTCACGCTGCCCCCGCCTACACACATCCTGACAGCCAATCACTGGCTATCAGGATGTGAGTGGCAGCGAGACTGGCCAATCATTGCATTTGAGTGCGCTGCCCTGGCTGTTTTTTTTTTTTTTTTTTTTTTTTTTTTTTTTTTTTTGGATCACGCTGCCGCCCAAGAGGAGGGAGGGGAGCGGGCGCCCGGCACACAAGAGCCGCATTAAATCGTGTAAAGAGCCGCATGTGGCTCGTGAGCCGCAGCTTGCCGACCACTGCCCTATGCGATACGCAAAATTACGTGCCAGTCACTCAAACAAAATCACGAGTGGGAATGGTTGTTCCTGCTGCGCGAAAGTGTGAACACATTTTGAGCAGGTTGCCTGTGCTTTTGATATGAAGAAAGCTTCATTTGTTGTCTTTTACGTGAATTAAGAAAAGATTTGCTTGCTATAATAATTATAGTTAACTACTTATTTCCTTGTACCTGCTGTACCACCACAACAGTGTCTGGGGATTCTAATTATAGTGACCCTCTGCTCCTAGTGGGGATGAACAGAAGTTAAGCTGTTTAATCCCATTAAGAGATAACGCCTCAGTCATGCTGTTAAGGCCTGCATTCTGCTCCAAACAGTGAATATTTCTGACTAAGAATACATGAGTGGGGTCTGCATTTATTTACAAATGTGTATGCAAAGCAAGGGTGTCAAAACTCTTAATTCATCACGGGCTGCAGCAGCATTACGGTTGCACTCAAAGGGCCGGTTGTATTTGTAAGGCTTTATAAATGTCCTTTTTATCATATTAGATAATTGCCTCTGTATTCAATTATTACTGACATTAGAAATAACTGAAAATGAGTGTTGCTCACTGCTGGCATCATTCACAAGAAACTTTATTAGAGACTGCTCAGACAGAACATGGTTTTGCCATGGTGTTCTGTCTGAGCAGTCTCCAATACAGTTTGACACTGTGGGCCTTGTATTTGACACATGTAAACCATAGGAAACCTGTTCATAGTAGCAACTCACATTGAAATATAGAGCAAGTTATGCAAGTATTTGTAGCTTCTCAAGAACTGTACAGTAACAGTTAATGCTCCCACCCCCCCCCGAGGGGGACAGACCATTGAGACGGACAAAACAAGAAAAAAGCAAATAACTAGTCTTCTTTTTGGTTTTCCTATAAAGATTTCCTTAGTATTGTCTGGTTTATTAAGGGGTGGGGGTCCACATTAAAGTGGTAGTAAACTTGAAGCTTAAAAAAAAAATTCCTCTGAAAAGCAAAGTTATAATGTGCTAGTATGTAATGCATAAAGGCACACTATGTGAAACTTACCTTAAAATCAAACCTTCCAGTGGTGTGCTGTCACCAATAAACAGGGCTTCCATCTTCACCTGGTCTTCCTTCCAGGTTGGCGGGCTTCAGTCCTTTGGCCGAGCCACGATGACGTCACTCCTGCGCATGTGTGCTGGTATCACTGTTTACAGCACAGGGCTCTGAAGGTATGCCGTTCCTTCAGCGCACATGCGCTGCTGATGTCACCAGCAGCTGCACAAATAAATATTTAGATATTTACAGTACCTACAGGTAGACCTTATTATAGGTTTATCTGTAGATACATCATAAATGTACGTTTTTTTTTTTTTTTTTTTTTTTCTACCACTTTGACTTGTATAGACTTGTTACTGTATTTTTTTTAGAACCTTCTGAGTAAAGGGACAAGTAATCTAACAAGCAACATTTATATTTTTTTTATCTATGCATAGTAGTAGGTGCCTCTGACTGTTTGTTTTTTTTTTTTTTTAGCCTCTTGAGTAGTGGTCTGCAAACTGCAGCCTGCAAGAAGCTAGATGTGGCCCTTTTGCTTGCCTTCATCTGGCCCTTGGGGCACTTCTGTCCACGGATACGAGGCCTATTCCCTTCCACTGACACCAACGATGGGGTGTCAGTGAAAGGGACTCCTGTCAACGCTTTAACTTCCGTGGACAGCTTGGATGTCTCTGTGAGATGGTTGTAGTTCCATCTTTGTTAAATTTTTGAATCATTTTTGTATTCTGACTGATAAGTAAAGCTTTGCTGATCTTCTTGTAGCCTTCACCTTTCTTGTATAAAGATATTATTTTCTTTCTTTCTCAGGCCTTGTGACATTTCTCTTCCATGTGGTGCCATTGCTCACAGCATAGAATGGGAGGGGTTTTCTTTTCTTTAAGTAACTCCCTTTTATAATCAACTGTCTGCTGGACACCTATGTAATGAATAATTAGACTCGCCTGTAGTTGAATTCTTGTTAATTAGGATTTTGTTGTCTAAAATTTAGCTTTGCTCCTAAGACTTTTATTGGGGAGTATTCATTTTTGCAACATGGTCTTGAATGAATTTGTTAGGAAAAATGCTTTCTTTTTTGTGTGTGTGTGTGTGCAAATTAACAAATCTTGTTTGCAATCAATGGCTAACGTTTGTGGGAGTATTTTCTAGTGCAGTGTCCCATAGAAAATGTTGATCCTGAAAGGAAAGGTTTTCTGAGTGTGTGTGTTGTGTGTGTGTTTGTGTGTGTGTGTGTGTTTGTGTGTGTGTGTGTTTTCCTGTGTGTGTGTTCCTGTGTGTGTGTTTTTGTGTGTGTGTGTGTTGTGTGTGTGTGTGTGTTCATCAGTAAAAATTTTTTTAATCTCATGCAGTGATCACGATCATTGATCTTTTGGATGGTTCGCACCCTTCTCCCTTTTGAAATGTTAATGTTAAAGTTACCTAAATGAACTGTTTATAAAAGGAATTTATGAAGTATGATGGACGTAGTTTGAAGTTTGGTGTTCTGCTTGAAATGTTACATGCACATATATTTTTTTACATTAGACAGTCCATCCAAAAACTTTGAATTGTGGCTGAAGTCCTGTATGTACATGTAAGGGCTCAGTTACATGGGCATCTAAAATGCCACCCTTTGATGCATACAACATAAAGTTTTGTATGCATTTAAACATAGAACTATACAAATCACTGGAGGCCTACACATAGCAAATGAAAATACGTGTTTAGCTGCGTTCAAGAAAAGTATATCTGCAGATTTTATGCATATTAACGATTTTATGTAACGTGTAAACATGTAATGTTTATCTGGGCTCATTCAGATGGCAGGTTAGCTCCATCCTCTGTGCAGATCCATTGGTGTATGCGTGTGCTTCTGCCTCGAAACTGCATACAGTCAGCCCATAGAAGTGGATGTACACACAATGCCGACAGACACAATCTCATGTGAAAGTTTGAAATGCGGACAGGAGTGGGTGCACGGATCTGCGTTTTGGATCTGCACCTGCTCCTGTTTTATGTCAAACTTTAACGTGATTGTGTCTGTGCTGGCGCTGTGTGTGCATCCGCTTCTATGGGCTGCCTATACGCAGCAATGAGACAGGTGCACACGTATTTATCAGTGGCTCTGCACAGAGGAATGCACTTATCTGTCATCTGAATAAGCCTTAATACAGAAAAGAGGTGGTTGGTTGTCTTCCTTAATCTAATAGAAATTCAATGATTCTTCGAGATGGTGAAACAGGGAAAACCATGTGGCAAGGAGCAGAAGACCTTTCTTTTCCAGGTGTTGAACATGAAGGTACTGTACCTCAGATTTCAGACTTATCCTAACTTTGTCTCGGGGGGAGCAAGATCATTAAATCTATAAATTTGTTTTTATTTCTTTCCATTGGAAAATATTCAGTTTTTTTTTGTGTTGATGCAGTATAAATTGTCTTAAAATAAGTGTTACTAACATGCAGTATTTTCCAAACAGATTATATTTTTATCTCATCGGAATGTTCAGTTTTTAATGATGAACTCATTCTCCCCTGCCTTTCCTGCTCCCCATTCCCATTTTCCTACACACTGACCTGCCCAACGAATACAGCATTGTCCTGCAGCAATCTGATGTTCAGCTGTCTGTGTCTGGTCCTCTTCAGCTAGCTGCATCTACTGGGTCCAGGTAGTCCGGCCCCAGTGATGCAGAAGTTCCACCTCCTAGCTGTCCTTTAAATGCCCCCTGCAGCCTCCTGGGACATGGGGGGGGGGGGGGGGGGTTTCTGCTTTAAACAAAAATATCACCAGTGCAGAGTTGCTATTTTCCATATTAAATGAGCATTTAACCACTTGCCCTCCTGAGGATTCACCTCCCTTAATGACCAGGCCTCTCTTTGCTACTCGGCGCTGCACTAATTCAACTGATAATTGCGCGGTCATGCAACGCTGCTTCCAAACGAAATTTACGTCCTTTTTTCACACAAATAGAGCTTTCTTTCGGTGGTATTTTGATCACCTGTGCGCTTTTTATTTTTCACGCTATAAACAAAAAAAGACCAAAAATTTTGAAGAAAAACGATATTTTTTACTTTCAGCTATAAAAAATATATAGTAAACTCAAAGTTAGTTATACATTTAGGTCAAAATGTATTCTGCTCCATGTTTTTGGTAAAAAAAAAAAAAATCCCAATAAGTGTATATTGATTGCTTTGTGTGAACGTTCTAGCGTCTACAAACTATGGTATAGATACTGCAATTTACGCCATTTTTTTTTGCTATACAGTACTGCGCTAGTTTAACGGACAATTGCGCGGTCATGCAATACGGTACATACATGAAATTTACATCCTTTTTTTTTTCCCCCAAATTGAGTTTTCGTTCGGTGGTATTTGATTGCCTGTGCGGTTTTTTTTTTTTTTTTTTTTTTTTTATTATTATTTATTTATTTTTTTTTATTTTTTGCGCTATAAAAAAAAAAAAAAGACTGACAATTTTGAGGAAAAAAAACAATATTTTGGACTTTTTGCTATAAAACATGTCCAGTAAAAAAAAAATTAAAAATCAAATTTAGTCATAAATTTCTGCCAAAATGCATTCTGGGACATGTCTTTGCTACAAAAAACCCAATACGTGTAAATTAATTGGTTTACGTGAAAGTTATAGCATTTAAAAATGGCGGGAAAGATACTGGGATTTTTTTTTTTTTTTTTTTTTTTTATACTAATAATGGGGGCGATCAGCGACTTATGGCGGCGATCAGCGACTTACGGCGGGACTGCGGTGGAAATTCTGACACTGGGGGGGAACTGACTTGGGGTCACTGACATCCCCAGTGACACCAATACAGTGATCAATGCAAAAAAAAAAAAAAACTGACGCTGTACTAATGGCACTGGGGAGGAAGGGGTTAACTTTATTATTCAGTGAAAGGGTTAACTGTGTGAGGGGAGTGTTACTAGGGGGGCGGGGGTGTGTACTGCAGGGAACACCACTGATCGGGACAGATAAACTCTTCTGTCCCGATCAGCGTGTCCGGAGCTGTCAGGAGCTGTCAGGGAACTGACAGAAAGCACAGCTACTGCAGCTGTGCTCTTTGTCACTGATTGCCGCTAATCGCCGGGACATAGCCGGTAACGACCGGCTGTGACCCGGCGACTGACATCCGCGGCTGTGTTCGGCGGGACAGGTAGGGCGGCGGCGCGCATCGCGCGCGCCCCCTACCTGTTTTAAAAACACGTTTTAAAATGTGGTTTTGCCCAGCCGTGCCACCCTGCCATCGTATTTCTACAGTGGCTGGGCGGCAAGTGGTTAAAGAAGTAAACGTGCTATCTTCTATGTAAGCTTTAAATGTGGCCCTATAAATCACATGACTGCACAGTTCTGTGACTTGGGCTGCTTTGAGAGTCAACGGTGAGGAGTTTTAAGTGATGTCACCCCACTGGTACTTAGACTTTGAGCATTGTCTAAGTTTCCTTCCTCCATCTGCAGAAGCTGCCTGGGACCTGGAGCTGTGCAATTACCTGACTGCTAGGAAATGGATAAACAGGTATTCACTGCTTGTTACTGCAAATGGTGTAGGCAGTGGGTAAGCGGCCGTTAAAGCTTGCTTGGTAAATTGCCTTTTTCTTTTTTAACTAATAAACATTTGTTACTCATCAGTATTTCCCAGTCCTAGTAGATGGAGGGTTTCCCACTCAACAGAAAACAAGCAGAATAGTTGAAAACCCCTCCCACCCACCTTGTCCCTCAGTCTAGATCTGGGGGTCAGCAACCAGTAGATCATGATCTACCAGTAGATCTCGGTCAGGTGACTAGTAGATCACCAGGGCACCAAACAGAGTGCAATGCAGAGGGACTGCTTGTAAAGTTGGAGCTGTAGTAGGGAGCAAGAGCCACATAAGTTGAGGTCTCCTCTGTAGTGCTTGCTCCTACTCTGTTATGGTTTTGGGTGTAGCACCTGCCATGCATGACCCATTCATGTGAATGAGACCACTCTGCAAGTGCCCTGCAACAGTGTGCAATACAGCAAATCGGGTTAAACAGGCAGCTGTGTGTTGCTTTCTCACCACCTGCTTTAACCCCCTGGACCCTGTAGAAGCAGTTGCGGGGCACTTTCAGAGTGGCCCCATTTACTTAAATGGGTCTTGACTGACAGGCGGAAGCACCCACCAAAAACAACATGGGGTGTAATTCCTGCTGCGGCATGTGTACACCTTTTGGCTACTGCCTCAGCAGCTAAAGGGGATAGGGATTGGAGGCGGTAAACCATGACTCCAACACAAGGTTTTACCATGCCCCAACTTTACATGTGAACGAGCCCTAAGAGTGCTGCTGCTGGATGCAACAAAGTGCTTATTCACATGTGCAGCAGACACTACTGCTCCTTTGCAAAGCGATCTGAGTGTGTTTGACAGGTGGTGAGGAGGCAATATGCTGCCTCCTCAACACCTGATTTGAACCCATAATTGTGGTGCAAAGCACATGATTGTGACACGGTAGTACGGCAAGTAGAGGTTTAAATCAGGTGAGGAGGTGACACTGCCTGGTGATCTTTGACTTCTCCCATGTTGTTCAAGTAGATCTCCACCTCTTTAATGTTGCCTCCCCCGTCCCAGTCTAGATTGTGTTTTCTACAATTCAGGAACAGCACAGCTTTTTTTTTTTTTTTTTTTGCTTTTTTTTTTTTCTCCTTCTGATTTGTAGTTTGGAGTTGGGCATGTTTTAGACTTGTGTTTGTCATCTTGGGGTCGTGGCATCTTCCTTCCCTGTAGTTTAACTTGCAGGAGGCCAGATGTTGCCATTCCCTTTGGTCTGTCCACTGCACACAGAGTATTCTCCAAGGTGCTAGCCCCAGTGCATGCTCTGCTATTCACGCGGTATTCCCTTAGTGAGATATCTGGATGACCTTTTTTGCTGAGAGGATGTTGGTTCCGAGCCTGTTGGCCACGGTCCAGGGACTGTTCAGACTTTCTAGGTTTGGTTGGATCCTGAACCTTAGGAGGCCTTTGCTGATGCCAGTTCACTTGGAATGAGAGGGGTATTTTGAGCTGTTCCTAGATATTGCTTAGTCCTGAATGTATTTATTTTTTTCCTTCTCAAAAGCAAAACAAATGCTGGACTTCCATATTCAGACTCTACAGTCCACAAACCTCCCATCTTTTCGCTTTTGCACGGGTGTTCTAGGCTTGTGGGTAACCTTCTCTCAGACAGTACCATAGGCTGGTTTCATGGGATTAGTTAGTACATTTTTAAGAGGCATCATTTTGCCTGTGCCCCAGGGCTAAATTGCGTCTGGCTTGGTGGCTCACCATTCCAGCTCTGGTCTTTGCTGCTCAAAGAGAAGCCGGGCAGATTCTGCCTTGGAGAGAGCATCATGTTCCAACACTGCTTAAGCTGGTCTCTTTATAGTGTCTACACTATATTGCCAAAAGTATTGGGACACCCCTCCAAATCATTGGATTCAGGTGTTCCAATCACCTCCATGGCCACAGGTGTATAAAATCAAGCACCTAGGCATGCAGATTGCTTCTGTGAAATTTCCTTGCTACTAAATATTCCACAGTCAACTATTAGTGGTATTATAACAAAGTGGAAGCGGCTGGGAACAACAACAATTCAGCCAAGAAGTGGTAGGACACATAAAATGACAGAGCAGGGTCAGTGCATGGTGAAGCGCATAACACGCAGAAGTCACCAACTGTCTGCACAGCCAAGAGCTAAAGACCTCCAAACTTCATGTGGCCTTCAGATTAGCACGACAACAGTGCATAGCGAGCTTCATGAAATGGGTTTCCATGGCCGAGCATCTGCATCCAAGCCTTACATCACCAGGTGCAATGTAAAATGTCAGATGCAGTGGTATAAAGCACGCCGCCACTAGAGTCTAGAGCAGTGGAGACGTGTTCTCTGGAGTGACAAATCATACTTCTCTGTCTGGCAATCTGATGGATGTTTCTGTGTTTGATGGTTGCCAGGAGAATGGTACTTGCCTGACTGCATTGTGTCAAGTTTGGTGGAGGGTTTTTTTTTTCTTTTTCATGGGCTTGGATCCTTAGTTCCAGTGAAGGAAACTCTTAAGGCGTCAGCATTCCAAGACATTTTGGATAATTTCATGCTCCTAAATTTGTGGGAACAGTTTGGGGATGGCCCCTTCCTGTTCCAACGTGACTGAGCACAGTGCGCAAAGCAAGGTACATAAAGACATGGATGAGTGAGTTTGGGTTGGAGGAACTTGACTGGTGGAACACAGTCCTGACCTCAACCTGATAAAACACCTTTTGGGATGAAGTAGAGCGGAGACTGCAGGCCAGGCCTTCTTGT